TTTTATTTTTATTTTCATTTATAAGAAAATTATTCCTGGTGTGTCATGCCACTCCCTCCCCACCCCCTAGGGCGCACTGAGCCTGCAATTGAGACTAGGCATGGTGGCGCACACCTGTAATCCCAGCTCTTGGGAGGATGAAAACAGAAGGATCACTACGAGTCCGATCTGTGTAGTGAGACCTTGTAGACCCTGTACTAAATATATAAAAATAAATAAAATAAAACAATTTTTTAAAAATCTTTTTGTACAATTTTTGTAATAATATTTTTCTTAGGATTTGTAGATGCATATATAAGAGCACAGTATCTGGGCCGGGGAGATAGCTCAGTAGAATAAGTGCTTGCCTGGCAAGCACAAGGGCCTGAGTTCAATCCCTGGTTCCGCAAAAAAAAAAAAAAAAAAAAAAACTATCTTTTTAGTATCTTTGAAAATATTCATTTGTTTTCCTTTTTTTTTTTTTTATTGCTGTTGTTGTTGTTTTTAGGTACTAGGGATTGAACTCAGGACCTGGTGCGTGCCAGGCAGGCATTTATTCTACTAAGCTATTTCCCTGTCGCTCCTTTGATCTTTTAAAGCAATAAACAGCTTTAAATATTTTTAAACAGTAATTACCTTTGCATTCCTATCTCTAATGGCATATTTTTGAATTTTATTAATGATTTTTTCATCAGTATTTACCTTTCATTATTCACCTTTTTGTTGTTTCTCTGTATTTTGAATCATTCATGCTGATTACAGTAAAAAAGAATTGAGTTTTTTTCCTGTATGATTTAGAGCAGTAATTATTTGTTTCTGAGGTCCTAAAATAATATGTACCTTATACAGTTCTGAAGTCTTTGACAATGTCTTCATTTCTTATGAAGCAATGACTGTGACATTAGTAAATTTAGATTTCCTGTATCTTTTAAATTACTATTTACCATATATTTTCCTATAGATTTCAAATTTATTGTAACAGTTATACAAAGTATTCTATGTATTTACTACATTGTCATTCTAAAAGTGATTAACTCTTGGTTGTTTATTTGCTTCTTTCTTCTATTCCTGTCATTATGTTATGCTCTTCTGAATCTATCATTGTTAGAGTCCTACAGACTTCAATGCTTTTCTCCATCTATACTCAGTTCCCAGAAGAAAGCAAGTCCCACAGTACTGAGTATATCTCTACACTGATGAACTCTAAATGTTTTCTACAGCTATGATTTCATCATGCCTAATAAACACATCTCTACAGATGATAAATACATCAAACTTCATAAATCAAAAATGAAAGTCTTGATTATACCTCTATTTCCTAAATCTACTAGTCTCCTAAAGAATAACAGATATTCCCCATCTAAGTGATTAGAAGCAGCGTTCAAATAGTTTGCTTAGTCAAAAAAACCTTTGATTCCTCTTTCTTTTTAAATTTTATATGCAATTTACTAGTAAGCTCTACTATCTCCACCTTTAAAAATGTATCTAATCACTCCAAAGTCTATCATTCTAGTTCAAGTGATCATTATCTTGTATGCAGACTGCTACAATGGCCTCCAAATTGAACTTTCTTTTCCTCCCTTACTGGTTTATTAATATATATATAATATATATATATATATATATATATATATGAAACTCAAGGCCTTGTACATACCAGGCAAGCACAGTGGTGCTGACCTTTATCCCCAGCCCTACAGTGTATTTTTTCATGATATAGATTTATTACCTTATCTCTTATTATGTCTATCAGAGACAGACAAAATATAACTCAAACTGAATATGACAAAAAAGTCTTACTTGTACCTCTATTCCCTAATTCTAGTATTCTCTTAAAATATAACAAATATCGGGGGGCTGAGGAGAAGCCTCAGTGGAATAATCGCTTCCCTGGCAAGCACAAGGCCCTGAGTTCAATCCCCCATTCAGCTAAAAAAAGGAAAAAAGAAAAGTATAATAAATATCTCCCATCTCAGTGTGTAGCACCACCATGCAAAGAAATGGCCCTGCTAGCATAACCTGTTTGCTTTTTTGTCCCCACTGTACCATTCCATTTGTTTGAAAAATATATCTAGTGAAAATCCAGACAACTCCAGGTTTTTTTATGTTATTTGGGTCAATTTTTCCCTTGCTCTTATCATGACCTGACATTATATTATATGTGTGTTTTCATCTATCAAATCATTAGAATATAAACTCAGTAAAGTCAGGAGACTCACTTTGTGAATTCCTATAATATTGTTAGCTATGTAGCAGATGTATTATAAAACCTTGATGAGAAAGTAAATCCATTTGATACATTGTTCTAGTAGTTATTGCATAGTTCTTTATAGAACTTACAGTTGGTTTTTGTCCTATAGATCACAAGATTTAAGATAGATTGTCATATCATAAATATGAAAGTAATATGTTTAAGAGAATAAATTAATAAACATTTTCATTCTTTTTGTAAGAAAGTAAGGCAAAGTTTATGGAAAAGAAAAGCTAAAAATACGAGCTTGATTATGTCCCATATAGAAATAGCAAGAGGGAACTCTGAAAAAAAATAAAAAATAAAAAAAAAATAAACACCTGCATGACCTGATTTTTTGCCACTTTTCCAGCATAAAGGTTTCCATTTTCAAGGGAAAGGTTTCTGGAAACAGTGGCTTAAGAAAATATATAACACGTGCTGTTAAAATTGCCATATTTATATTGAGTTCTGGGTTAACTAGTATGAAACACCATGGTAAAAATAAACTTCCATTGTGTTTTAAGCAATCAGTGTTTCCAATAAGCACTGTAAAGATGACCTATAGTAGTTCTCAGAACTCGTTCTCTAAGCCTTTAACTAGCTATTCAATCCCTATGGCATCTTATCTACATTACATTTTCAATTAGCACTTTAAATGTTGGACCAACAATAAAACACACAAGCCATTTTCTGAGAAGATTTCTAAACTTCATAATTTGAAAAATACTAAAATGAAAAAATCTGAGACATGTTTGGGAAAGAGTATCAGTACATACCCAGATGGTAGACAAGTATAACAAACTTAACCTTCCAATGCCATAACTCTCTATTCTATGCTTAATGCTGAACCACTACTCCCTTAACATGGTTTTCCCAGAGGAATTTTGGTTCTCACAGTAGTATAAATAGAAACATTTTTGGATAAAGTTATTACCTATACTCTAATAATGCTAGTATTTAAGAGTAATGATAATTATTAATTAACTGTCTAAGGCCACTCTGTAGCTCTTAATGCTGTTGTCAGATTTTCATACTCAATGCCCCACCGCCCCAGAACTGGGGATTGCAAGGCATTGGATTATTCTACCAAGCCATCTCCTCGGCCCCTTCATACTGAATCTTAGGAACTGTTCCCTCATTAGAAGGGCAATAATACTCTCTATCTGTAGGACCCTTGTCCATGAAGTAAGCCAGTCAATGACTGAAAATGTTTGGAGGGAAAAAAATGTATCTGTGATGAATATGCACAAATTTTTCCCTCCTCATTAGTCATTAAAGAATACACTGTAGCAGTTACATATCATTGACAATGCATAGCTATTACAGGTAATCTTGAGATGATTTAAGGATGCAAGAAGATATGCAAACAAAATACTACAATCATTTTATACAAGGGACATTGGCAATTTTTTGTACCCATGGGATGTCCTAGAACAGATCTTTTACAGATACTAAAGGATGGTTTTTATTAGACATTATTAAAAAACTTAAAAAGAATGACAGGATATAATATGATGCATGACAAATTTTAAGAAATTGTATTGGTAATTTGAAACAATCCCTGGTCACCTAATGAATAGGTAACACCATCTAGTACCTAATCTGCACATGTACACAAATCATATCTATACACGAAGGTACAAAAAGCATATGTGCAGCTCAACAATGTACCTTTTTTTAACCAGAAAAATACTGTCTTACCAACAGTTTTAATCGATCCTATAATAGTAGAATAAATAAAATTTGATTTGTACACTGTGTCTGTTCTCAAGTGAAGGTACTAACAAATAGAGAAAAGATATAAAAAAGGGAAAAATAGACAATAGGGCACATAAAAGATGGCTTCAACTCTGTATGTAGTTAACAGCAATTTGGGGGTTTCAAAAGGATGGCATGGATTATGTTTTACCACTAAACTAATCAATTAACAACAACAAAATCTCAACTCTTATAGGTTAGTTTTTACATTACAAAACATCCCTTTAACATTGGAAATATTACCCTGTTACTTTTACAGAATAATAGTAATTTAAAGCTCCTCAATATTCAGGAGTTAATTCATCTTTGTTTGATTCTAAAAGTATATAATTTTGCACTTTTGTTCTAACACTGAAACAAAATTAGTAATTTTTCACTATAAAATAATTACAAAATTGCTAACTATAATAGCATGTGATGGGAATTTTTTATTAAGTATGAAGATTTTAGAATTTAGACAAACAAAGAAATAGTTGAGTAGAAAATTTTAATTACATTTTTGTCAGCCATAACCTTGAATACTTTGACCACACATTAGCACTCTTGAGTGTAATGGGGTCAATTTAGAAAATGTATTTTCTTGTATGACATATAAGAAAGAGTTAAAACAGGGCCTGGTGGTGCATGCCTATAATCCCAGCATTTGGGAGACTAAGGCAAGAGGATCACTGTGAGTTCAAGGGCAGCCTAAATTACATAGTGAGTTCAAGGCCTGCCTGAACATAAGAAGATCCTGTTTCAAAAGCAGAAAGAGGGAGGAGTGAGGGAAGAAGAGGGGAGGGGAGGGGAGGAAGAAAGAAAGAAAGTAAATTTAGAGAACATAGTTATATATTTTGAGTTTTGTTTTGTTTTCTAACTTAAACAGGAATAACTGTTATTGGTATTTGTTTTCTAATTTAAGAAAACAAAACCCTTAATAAACACCTATACTGAAGACCAAATTATCCTGAGGAAACAAAGCCATGAATGCAAACCACCCAAACTATGTACTAAACCAGAAGCATTTCCACTGTACAATATGGTATCTTACCTTAAAAGTTGTGGTACCATAGAGCTTAGTGGTATGGACTGTCTCTGGAAGCACATTAGTGATGTTGGTGATGAATTCTTCCAAATACTTACAGGATTTCTCCAAATGTGTTGTATTGATAATAATCTGAACAAGCTAAAAAATAAAAGCACATATAAAAATCACTTGACTATTTTCCTCCAGAACAAATATTCAGGATGAATCTGTTAGCACAAGACAAAAAAGGTGTAACAGCAGAGTCATTCATATTCTGCAAAATATATGTTAAAATACTGGCTTACAAACTGCTTTCTCCAAAAAGACTTCCCTGAACTCCCAAAACACTTTGTATTTCTCTATTTTTAAAACGTTTTGTTCTGTTTTCTAAAAACTACTTGAAGAACAAAAGCTAATACTCTTTACCATAGTACCTGTCAATACACAATTGCTAGATGAATTAAAATTCAAGAACATTTATCCAAAGTATCAATGCAGAGATTCTGGACTTCAGACATAAGACTATTACTTTTATAAAATTACTCAAAATATTAGCTTTCTAATTTATGAGTGGCTTGGCATGGGGGCATCCACCAAAATAAACAATTTTATCAACTTCTCCCTTTCATCATATTTCTCTTTGAGACAACTAAAATTATTAAATATTTAAACTGTCTAGAAATTAAATCATTCTTACTAACTAGGAAGGTGGTTTGAAGTCAGAAAATAAGAGTGTTGATTTGGAGAGCTAGAGAATTTCTATTTTAAAATCAGCACTACCTATACGGAACACATTCTGTCTATCAAAAGAAATTCTAATAATAAGGAGGAATCATGTCATGGTAGTGAAATAAAAAACAGAGGCAGTCAAAGAGAAAATTGTCCTGTTTTTGAAGATATTGGCAGCTTAAAAAAAAAAAAAAGAGGCGTTTTCACAGAGTAGAGTAGTAATTTCCTATGACTTTTTAAAGATCTGTCAACACAAAAGATCACCATGAATTACATCAATTGGCTGTCAGTCACTTTTGAAATGTTTCATTGCTGAGCATAGAATAGACTATTAAAACACTGCAGGATTACAGCAGATACCATGTCATTTTCAAAGGGAATATTGGCTGTTAATGAGGGCTAAGTGATCTCTACTTCTCAATGACAGCTACCAAAATCCTTACAAGGACATTTACAAATTTAAAGCCACATGCTTTGAGAGTAATTTTGAAATTAAGGATGAAGTAAAGCAATTTCAAATATCAACCACTGTGATAGTTTGAGCTTCTTTGAGAATATTTTAACCCCAATGGCCAGTCCAGGCTGTATTTAATATAGTTTCAAGGATGTGGAACTAACAGATTTGATATTATTTATTGCTCATGAAAAATTATATGAGAACTGCCCAGAAAAAGAAAATTTTAGGAAGCAGTAACCTCTCACAAGTAAATGACTGAAGTAATTTAGGTTAAAAACCATCAGGAAGTAGAAAATTAATCAGTCTCTCCTTCTTGATACCAGAAATAATCTACTGAGAAAGTCACTGAGGACCGTGTAGAAAGCACTTCTCCAGTTCTGCTCCAAACACTCCAGAGAAAATAAAGTTACGATGACAGATGTTCTTTTCTTGATAAATTCCAGAAAAGAGAATGTCTGAATCATTTCCAGTACTTTAGAATTAAACCCTAAACTTTAAGAAAACCTTCATATTTCCAACTATAAATACATTTTATGTGTCTATATTAGAAGGAGGGCAGAGTGTTGAAGAGAAGAGAAACAGCCTCTCCAGGATTTGGTGTCCAGAAACTGTAATGTAGTAGTATGAGGAAGACAAGGGAAGAAGGTCCCCAGGATCCAGCAAAAATCTGAAGTGAGCATTGAAGCCCAGTGGCAGTTCAAAGAAGAAAAACTCAACAAGAAGGTGGCAAGAGGTACTTTCTCTCTGAGCTCTGACTTGCTACAAGGGAGGGGTGGCTCAAATTTACAGATGCACTGGGAATATAATAGTGCCAGAGCCACTGTGGAGAAAAGCAGCAGTGAAATGGAACGGTGGACAGTGGTGGCTGGTGAGGGGTTTTTTTGTTTTTTGTTTGTTTGTTTGTTTTGGGTTTTTTTTTTTTTTTTTTTTTGCAGAACCAGGAATTCAAATCAGGCCCTTGCGCTTGCCAGGGAAGCACTTATTCCACTGAGCCATCTCCCCAGCCCTGGTGAGTTATTTGGAGTCACACGTTCCCCAGGAGATGCTGACTGGGCCAGTTGTCATCCTGGAGAGGGGACAAGTGAGCTCAAAATTCAGAGAAGTGGCAAGCTGGATCCAACTAGAGGCTACCAGTATCAGGGTGAGGCAGAACTGAGTCTGAGTAGGCAGTATGCAAAGATGAGGCACACAGAGTAGTGCAGGCTGAACATAGCGTGTTCCAGCCTCACAGCCAGAGATCAACCTGAACTTTTGTGGAATTAACAGTGGAGATTTCCAGGGACTGTCCGCTACTCAAGCATAAACCTACTACTGGCTTGCCAGAATTAATAGCCACACATCTGGACTTTGTCTGCCCACTCAATCTTCGATGGCAGAGACATATCCTTTTTAGTCACTTTTTTTTTTTTTTTTTTTTTTTTTTTTGGTGGAACTAGGGATTGAACCCAAGCCCTTGTGCTTGCCAAGCAAGCACTGATTCTACTGAGCCATCTCCCTAGCCGACATATCCTAAAGTGGTATTTTTTGCCCTCTTTACATTTTCTCCCCCTCCCCCCCTTTTTTTGGGGGGGTCTTATTTGTTCTTTTGAGTAGATTTTTTAAAAAAAATTAAAGAGAATAAAAAATAATTTTAAAACATTAGAAATGATACAGAATTTTAGAAAACAAGATGATAAGAATTCAACAATGGTTGTTATATTGTATATTGTCTTCAAATTAGTTGTTCATATTACCAGATATAAGCACGCAAAATTGGTCAAAAATTAAAACATTAACTGTTCCTTTCAATAAACCAATATAAATCATCAGTACGATTATCCTAGATATCTTTGTACATACATACATTTTCCCTCTTCTTGCTTTCTTTCTTTTCACCTTTCCCTCATCCTAGCTGCTCTCCCTTTCACTGTCTTTATTGTACCTTTCAGAATTTATTTACTCTTTCAGGTTCTTACAATAGAGAGACAATATGATGTTTACCAGTGTGGGTCTGATTTATTTCACAGATTTTTTTATTATGAGCGTGAACACCATTTACAGTTTTTATTGTTGTGGTTCTGTTTGCTCTTACTTTTATTTCTTCCTTTACTCTTTTCCTACTGTCTTCTTCACTAGTTTCCCAAAGTTCATGTAATTTTCCATTGTCCCCAACCATGGCGTCTAATTTCTCCTGTTCTTCTATTTCTCTATTTTCCTCCCTTAACACCTTTTAAATTTTAAATGTTCTTTTGAAGCTTATTTCAAATCCCCTTTTAAAGCTTATTTTACACTACTTAGTGATTGGGCTTCTTTAAAGTTGAGTGTCATGCATATTTGTTATCTTTCATCATTTTAAAAGTAAGATGATAAATGTTACACCAAAGAAATAGTAAATACATTCTAAACAGATAATAACATAAATAAGTATAACATATACCTAATGCCATATCACTGAGTGATACTAATTTATCTCATATCAACTGGATATCTAATTCTAATCTTTTGATTTCTCTTAATTACGCTTTCAAAATTTTTTTTAATGTATTTGGTTGTTGTATTTTGGTTGTTTCACTACACAGATTGGACTCATGTTGATCCTCCTGCTTTCAGCCTCCCCAGCACTGGGATTATAGGTGTGCACACTACGCCCAGATGTTGACTGACTTAGCCTGCCCTGCGGCAGGGCTGGCGCTACAGGAGGGATCAGAGATTGAATCCTGGTCCTGGCATTTGCCTAAGCTTGACATGCAGACGCTTTAGTCCACTGAGCTATCTCACCGGCCCCTGCACTTTCAATTTTTGTATTGAACATTGTTTGCCTGCCCAGTCCTTTTTATAACAATAAAAAATATGTATTTGTTATGGTCCAGACTGTTGGAATACAGAATGTTCAGTTAATTCTTACAATACATGGTATGATTGTACTCAATTTACCAAAAAATAGCCAAGTAATTTGCCCAAGAATGTGGCTATTCAAAAGGGGTTAATATTGGAACTCAGTCAGCAGAAGAATATAGATTCTTAAAAAAGAACTCATTTGTTCGCTCCACAGACCTGAGGAAGACAGTCTGTGTTAAAACACAACAGTTTCAAATGCTCTTTGTGTAAAGCTGACCAAAGCAGCTCCAAAAACATTAGTTATTTTCACTGAATAAACTAGAAAATTCACATAAAGTTGGAAAGAGCAATGTCTACAGTATTATTTCTATAGGTGTTGAATTTGTTCAACATGGAAAAGCAAACCATGAAAAATAAAAAGCCAAAAAATAAAAAGCCTGTATACAAAGAAACAAACAGAAAAGCATATCAATAGAAACAGAAGATAGCATGTGATTCCTCCCTCCAAAAAATAGAGAGACTGACATTAGTTTATGGAAACAGTTAAGTTCTAAGAATTATCTGACATCCTGAAACAGGATTCTATGAGTTCTGCATGCTTATAATAATCCCATTGTTTGAATAGATTTCTGCTCTCTGACACAAAGTCATTTCTAACTCATATAATTTCCATGTTATTATGGATCTTCTGCAAAATTTCTATCTTGGTTAGGATGCAATAATTAAATCAATATGAAAGGCAGTACAATATAGTATAAATGAAAAGATTTGTAAAAAAACAACCTAGACTTAAGTCCCATTTCTACTTTTGTAGCTATATGACCTTGGGCAATCTCCCTGAACTTCAATTATGCATTCTATAAAATGGGAATAATAACACATGCCATGCCACTTCAAATGTTACTGGACTAAGTGAAATGGTATTTGTGAATAGGCTTTGAAGAATATAAACCGCTCCACAAATGTTACCGATTACGATGATGCTTCCAGATGTGAACTCACTTTAGGCACTTATAAAGGATACAATGTCTTCTCTTTCTAGAGGTGAATAATATAGCTATTCAAAGATTTTTCTGGTTGGTAAAGAAAGACAAACATTTTGTATGTATGTGTCTATACATGTATGTACTACCTTAATAGCCAAAAGAACCTAATGTGTATGAATGTCCCTTCATTCATAAGCAAAGATACTGATGAAGACAGTACATTTATGAAAAAACACCCAAGGACTTGAATAGCAATGGAAGAATGCCATGAATTATTATGTGATGGTTCCCTGATAAACTCCCCTTGATTATTCCTATTATTTCGGTGTTTGTATGATGCCTTTGTTAAGAATATGGAAGTCAGAAATATTCCACCCAACAAATTTGGCCTTTCTCTCAAGTTGTCACAGTAAAGCAATGTCATAGCCACAACTAAATAAATACAAAAGCCTTCTGAAGTAATAGTTGTTTCTATCATACCACATCCCTGCAAGGATTCTTGTTCAAAATATTTCTGCTTAGTTTGTAATAGATTGCTAAACTGAACAGCATAAAAGTACATCAAGTATGAGAGGGCTGGGGCTGTACCTCCATTATAGAGCCTTTGCTTCATATTTGAAAGGCCCAGTAGTTCCATCCTTAGCAGAATGAATAAATAACAAGCAACTTTCTGTCTCAGTTGTGATTCAGAAAAGGAAAACAGTATCTTCTAATAAGAGCAGAGGGTTTCCTAATATTCACTCCCACTTTCTTTCTTCATACACTTCCTAGTTATAAAAAGTGGCCCCATTTCCAAATACATAAATGAAATGCCTAATGTTTTTCTCTCAGTGATAGAACTGTACAACTGAGAGGACTGTCCTCCATCTGTGTGCCTAGGAAAACTTTGAAGTTTTAAAAATGCTTGTTATAAACAGAACTTAGTAACTGTGAATGTCCTACCTTATAATATTTTTAAATGTTAATGCAGAAAAGAAAATGATACTATGAAATCAGAAGTAGATGCTCACCTGGTATCCAGCTGTCTTTACCTATATGGCAGTATCATTAGCCATTTGCTGAATTTTACATAATTCTTAGCAGGATATATTTTTAAATGTCAATTTGTCCTAAAACAACTGACATTAAAACTACATCACTCCTATAGGTAAAACAGATGGCAAACAGCCTTTCCTTTTCATTGTGGAAAAATTCCTCTAAGTTCTCACATTTGGTTCTATAATCTCTGTGAGTGATAGACTGAGGTTACCACACAACCTTGGGTTTTTCAAAAGAAAAGAAATGTCAGATCTTTGTAAATTTTAGGACTGCACATCAGTGGGCCATTTTTTCAGTTTGCCAAGATACTATTCCAACATTAAGTACAATTTCAAATCTTCTTTTATCAGATTGTATAAATTACTGTTTTTTTCCTCATGTTTCCACATCGCAAATCCCAGTTTTACTGCCAAGCAGATTACATGCTGACAGAAATTCACCATTTGTACACGTGAGATAACAGAGAAACAAACCATGAGTCTAACATTAGCCAGGGATTATAGGTAACAGTATTGTTAACATTAATTATTGATGTAGGCAAAATATATTTTGTATTCTATTTGGTAAATAAATTGTCATTTATTCAGATATCAATTTGATGTTGAAGATATTCTGAAATCATAAACTTTTCATATGATTAATGCCAAGCTATATGAATTCAATCCAAAACGGAGACCAGTTAATCATATGACAACGTATAAGGGAGAAAAAACTGACTTTGTAGAAAAAATAATGGATCTCTCAAAAGTGATAAGAGAAAAACAGATTTTAGAAAGAACATGATAGGCCATGAAAAAGTCATAATTAATTTACACATAAGACCCACAGCAAAGGACATCTGTTCACATATAGGCTTGACTACCATCATTAACAGCAGCCTTACCTCAGTAAGCCCAATGTTCTTCCTTTTAATGACATTCTGCAGAGAGTTGCTCAGAGTCCTAGTAAGCAACAGGTTTGTAGATTTACGAATCATGTCATCAACTTCAGTGGAGCTGAAAAAGAAATGTCAAGTCAGTTACACCTGGTAGACTATTTTGCAAACTGGATGAAATTGCTGAACGTAACATTAATAATAAAATCGTAGTAGCAGCAGCAACAAATATTTAATATGTGACAGGAATTATTCTATTCTACCAAACTCAATCTTTGTTTGGCTAAAAGAAGTTTTTAACGTTGCCCTTTTTTTGTACCAGGGATCAAATTCAGAACCTTGTCCTTGGCAGGCAGGCACTTCTGCTGCTGAGCTATTTTTCCAGCCTTTACTTTGCCTTATTTTTTGGAAATCATTTTCCTATCTATCGAGTTCTCTCTGGATTTCTGTATTTTTTTTAGTACTTTAGATCATTCCATGATCTCGTGTTTATACAGTTTCAGACAAGAAGTCTGTTATAATTCCTATCATTTGGTCTGTAGATAATGGTTCTTTGAATGCCTTCTCTTCAGTTTTCCCTTCCACCTGTTTGATACAATGTCTTTACATGTTTTTGTTGTTTTTTCTTTTTATTATTTATCTGGATTGGGATTCTCAAAATCTTAAATCTCTTGGTCGATACCTTTCATTATTTTTAGCATATTCTCAGCTATTATCTCTTCAGACATTTCTTCTTTCCTGATCTTCCAATTCTCTTGGGGCTACTATACGAAATTACTCCACAGCTCTTGGGCACTTTGTTTATTCCCACTTCTCCTGTCCCTCCTCCCCTTCTTCCCCCTCCTCCCTCTCCCCCTCCCCCTCCCCCTCTCCTTCCTTCTCCTCCTCCTCCTCTCTCTTCCCCTGTCTGTTCAGGACACTGAATTGCCCTCTCACTTCAGCTAATAGCACCGAAAAGTTTTAATTTTTTAGTTATTTGGGTTTTTTCTTTTCTTCTTTTTCATTGTTAGAAACTGAAAGTATCTCATACCAATGAATTGCTTTAACAAAAAAAAAAATTGAAAATGTTCATGTATTAACATAGAAGAAAAAATCAAAAGAGAAAAAAACTGCATATACAAACAGTGTAACTATCTCATGGTAGAGCTCAAAGTCTAATATTTTTTCTCTTTGTGATACTCTATACCTTTCAAAGTCTTTTACAAAAATCTAGCATCAAAGTGGAAAAAAAAAATCTATGTGAATGTGTGTATACTCTATTTCATTAAAACGCAAATGCTAGAACAGTATATTACCATAGCAATGTCATATGCTGCTAGAAAAAATTTTCATACAAAAAGTTCTGCATCTTCAAAATTCCTGTTATTACATTTTTTTCTTTATTTGCAATGATTTTCAGCATCTTCTGTCCAATGAAAAAAAAGAAAATTTCATTTAAATTAATAATTACCCTGAATGCTTCATAAAAATCTCAATCCAGTGATTCTCTCGATTTGAGAGTTTTGTTTTTACAATACTGTCCCATGTGCTAATGTTAGCCTTTGTCCTTAGACAGCTATGATCAACAAAGTGCTCTCTGTCACTAGGTGTCAACCACAAAATAAAAGGCAGCTATAAAATCTCCTGGAATTGAATATCTAATTAATTTGTAAATGTGAAACATTTTATTGCTTGTTTTCAGGCAAAAGCACAATAAAATATTCAGGCAAGAAAATGGTCTTGTCAACAATGCTGAAAGTGGAAGTACTTTGGCATCTCTTAGAAATGGACTAACTGCTTCTGAATAAAGGGATGTACATGGGTCTCTGTGGGTGCAGGGGCAGAATGTTACAGCTTATGTCTAAGCATCCTATCAAAGCCTCATGAGGTCATAGGTAGGGCTTTTTCAGAGGTGTAAGGACCTACAGTGTGTGATACTGGGACTAATTCATGGTACAATGCTAGCTCAAGAGGACTAGGATAAAGGGTGTGAGTGCTACCCGCCCTAAGAAGCCTGGATGAAAATGAGGGCTATTAGAAAGAGATGTGGTTGTCCCTTGCTTGCTTTCATCCACCTGCTTGGTGTGGAGTGGTTTTCCTTTATGATGCCTCGCCACCCTGCCTTGTAGCCAGGCAACTATGGACTAAAACCTCTATAACTGTGAGCCAAATAAGCCTTATCCCCCAAGAGAGTAAGTAAGAAAGAAAGAAAAAAAATCTGAATATATCACTCATATTATCACTTTATTATATTACCTTTCTACCAAGAAAGAAGTACAAAAAAGTCATTCTATAATGAATTCCTAATAATTTACCCACAGTAAGTTAAAATACCTAATAACACCACCAAGAACATTCTCTACCATGAGGTTACTTAGTCAATGGGTGGGGAAGTGGAGACTATGGGTTTACATAGAAATCAGGGAGGGAGGTTGCTTTGGTGTGTAACTTTCAAAGATACTATCCTCAAGAGAATGTTTTTGCTGAGGATGTGGCTCAGCGATAAAGCACCTGCCCAGCATGTGTAAGGTCCTAGGTTCAATGCCTAGCACTTAAGGGGAAGGGGGACTTTCTATTAAACTCAATTCACTTTCAGAATAAAATAACAAATTAATAGTATAAGTACAATTTTTTCATAATAATAATAGTTATCAAACAATGATATAAATTAATTTCAAATTTTGCTGGCATATCACACTTTATATTCAGTCATTTTTTATTGATTTATTTAGACATAAATGAAGATGTCTTTAGCAAATATCATCAATTTGTGCTTGGGGCAGTTCCTTTGTTGCTCCCATATATATCCAGCACATATCCTTAATTCTCTAGCTCTTCAGTTCAATTACGTACTTCTTGAAGACAGAGACATTTGTAAAATCTTAATATCCTCACTACCAAGCAACACCTAACAAGTAACAGGTTAGCCATAATGGATGTCAAATAAATCCATGTATGTATGAACAAAGCAGGAAGATTGCAGTCTAAAATATACAGAAACACTGACAGAAGCAAGGCAATAACTGCTTCCAAAACATTTTATCTGCCATTCTCCACACCTTAAAATTTCATCAGTTAAACGTGAAAATTAATATGTTATACTATAATTTTCCAGTGAAATTTTATGAATAAAAAGTATTAAAATATAAATCTATATAGAAAATGGTAAAGAAAAAAAGCAAGTAAAATAAAGTTTACAAATTATTAAAAAGGCACCATATCCCGGGCATGGTGGAACATGCCCGTAATGCCAGCATTCAGGAGGCTGAGGCAGGAGGATGAGTGCGACTTCAAGACCAGCCTAGGCTACAAAGTGAGCTCCAAGCCAGCCTGAACTGCATAGCAAGACCCTGTCCCAAGACACAAGAAATAAAGTGCCATATTTCCCTTTCATTATGACAATAAAATTAAGCAGTATCATGAAGTGAAGAACTCAGATTTTCAAAGTCATAGCTGAAGAGAATAAAAAATTTTTTTCAAAAAGTTTACTTATAGAGAATGACTCACAATCTTAGTATTTATTTCCTTTCCACTGTTTTCAACTATTTCATGTTATACCTTAGATGAAGATCTTCTGAAAACTTCAGACAGGCGTAGATAAATTCTTTAATTTCATTGTAAACTTTTGGCACAAACTCAGAGAAAGGAAACTTTTTTGGGAACGGTTGCTGTAATTGCAAGAATTAATGAAAGTAAGTCACAATCATGTATTTATTATAATTATAAACTATTTAAAATGCATAGACAACATTCTTTCACATTATAAGCTGCCTGCTAAACAATTTCAAATTTAAGAAAATGTCTCTAAAACATTTTCATTGCTTAACAATAAAAATAACACAAATTTAAAATAATCCAAATGTTCTTCAACGTGTCAAGATTTTAAAAACTGTGGTACAAACTCAGCAACAGGAAAAAAGAATGAACTATTGATATATGCAACAACTTTCATGAATCTCAAAAACTAGTCAAAGTAGTCAATCTCCATACTGTACGATCTTTTATATGGCACTCTGGAGAGAGAAAGGTAAAAAGATACAGATCAAACTGATGGTTTTCAGAGGCCTTCAACAGGGAGTGGTCGATGAGCAAGGGGAACCATAAGGAAATCTGGAGGGATGATGGAACTGTTCTGTATTATTATTATTATTATTATTATTATTATAGCATATAATGAATCATTGTATTGGTAAAACAGAATTGCACACTTCGAAGGGTAAATTTTACCATATATTGTTGGAAAACACTCTTAATTTTAAGAGTGTAACAAAAGCATACATTTGAAAATGCAATCCAAAGTGAAACACCTCAACAATCCTCAAATCTTACAAAGGTGAGAGGGTCCTAAGACCATTTACTAATGTCCATATCAGAAAATTCTCTTCTTGTAAGTCCAAAAAAGAGTCCTTTGAAGGTGCTTTTCAATTCTAATCCACTGAGTTGAAGGTTACAAGTTTCAATGCAAGTCATCTATTGAAAGTGCAAGACATTCAAACAACTATACATATCTATCTTAAAATATTCCTTACCTTTTCCAGCTCTGTATCTTGGAACGGGAATTGTCCTACCACCTTTTTATACGTGTCTTCACTTGTTACTGGGATGGGACTATAGTTGTCAGAATCAAGTATGTTTCTATTAAAAAATAATAATGGAAGGGGGAAGGAAAGACATCTGAGTTATTTATAAACTGATTTTCTAATGAACTATAATGGCACTACATGTATTAAAACTTCAAAGGAACACTTTCTAGTCCTTGCTATTGTATTTCTTCATTAATATAGCTCTTTGATTTTGGATAAGGTCATCTTTGAAAGAAGACAGAAAGAAAATTATGACCTGAGACAATGAAACAGGATTTTAAATCTGCTCTTTCAATATATGAAATGTACAAATGGGACAGCAAATGCTACAGCAAGTAAGAAATAAATTAAAAAAAAAAAAAAATATATATATATATATATATATGGGCTCTAGAAAAGAAGAAAAAAGTGGTTGTTTCTATTCGTTTTATTAAGATATATTTGATTATGTTTTTAAAAATCTTATGCTAGTTATTGTTTGCTAACTGTGGAAATTGGCTGGTGAAATAAAACCCAAACTATGTTCATTTACTATTCTGTATTCATCAGACTTATATTTGTAATCTAAAGGTGCTTCCTACTTAACTATACTGTGGGGTCTCTAAAAGTAAAAAATGATCCTACCAAAATCAAAATAGAAACCCACTGAAGGAGCTATACCAAAAGAAACCTAAAACTGTAAATATATGTCATGTTAGTGACTTTCAAACTTCTTATGGAGCTAACCCTCCCCTAAAAAGTTATCACCAATAGCTAAATCTGGTTTTTATAAATATAAATATTTATATTAAAATGATTTGGACTGAATGATGCTCAAGAACACATTAATAAACTGTGAAGACAAAGACTAAATGAATCAAATAAGATCTTAAAACTATTAAAGTTTAAAATAAGTTAATTAAGAGAAGGCACCATGTAATAGGCAAAAATATTACTTAAGGAAATAAAGGTTTAAAAAGAGAAGAAAGTAACATGGGGTATGTGCCAAGCAAAGTTCCAACAGGCATATATTACTGAGAGATATAAAATAATGACTTTCATTATACACGTTACAAAAATTACTTAAATAACAGACTTTTCAAATATTACACTGAATTATACCTATTCTTTGGGTATAAATACAAAAGATTAAGGATAATATAAATGAATACTCAAAGAATTCCAGCCATGTCTAGTGGCATATGCTTGTAATCCCAGCACTCTGGGTGATTAAGGGAGGAGGCACCTCAAGTTTAGGCCCAGCCTGAAATATAAAATTGATACTAATCCTCTAATCCTCACAGAAAATTTAAAAAAAAAAAAAAAAAAAAAAAAAAAAAAAAAACAGAAAAAGAAAGCATAAGATGATCTACATGAAATGAAAACATGAATCTGACATTTATCTAATGAAACAAAAATGTCAAAACTTAAGTCATACATCTTAACACAGTAGATGCTAATACCCTGAGATTAGATATTTTAGAAACATAATTAGTGATGTTCACAATTCATGTGAACTCTGAATCACAGTCTGGAATAGCTAGAAAAACACAAACAACTCATTCTTGTTTATTATATCTTAAAAACTATACATACAGACATATACAGGTGCATATGCACATACACACATATGACCGTATTCCTCACCTGAAAATGCCTGCCCACTTCTTCAGCAGAGTTTCACTATACTGGTCTCTGACTTCTAACAGCATGTCAAAAAGCTGATTTACAGGAAAACCATATACCTGAAACAAATCAGAAAACAGATTCATTTCCTAAGCTGACTTTTTAAAGCCAAGTAAGAGAGATCGGGCACTGAAAGTCACTTTGTTCTCTAGACAACAATTTAAACAGAATGATGATGGTACAATCTTTCACTTCCACCCAATATCTAGTGATTTAATCTCAAAAATTAAAAGATATGGGTTAAAATGATTAAGTCAGTCAAAAAAAAGGGATTTCTAAAAATTAGAAAAATATATATTCTCAATACACTGTCAGGTACATTCTCCCTCCGCCTCCACTGTAACTCTTACTGCCTACAGTGACCTTCAGAGCAGGTAAAGAGTGATGATGCCACCAATCTCACCCACATCTAAAGTGACCTCACTGGAAATAATCCAAGGATCAAATCAAACATAATTGTTTAAGTAATAGTTAAACTACAGAAACAATAAGGTGCTATATATAAAATAAAAGTATATTTTTAAAGTAATATAGTGAGAGATCCAATTAACACATTTGATACAAGGGGAAAAAGAACCTTTATGAGAAAATAAAGGGTGAAGGTGAAGGCCAGGAAATATTGTAGATAACAAGATGCAAAACTAGGGGGAGAGGGTAATTATCCAAACTTATGTGGACAATAAAAGCATGCAGAGCTGATGAAATACTAATCTACATGAGCATATGCAGTCAGTTTGCCTACCTGGAGTGTATCTGCAAAAAGCACAATGAGATTCTTCAAATCTAACACAAGGTTTGGATCAGAGCAGTAAGACTAAAGGACATAAAAAAAGAAGAAAATTATCTTAATTACAAAAAATAAAAGTAAATTTGTAGTTAAATTTTTTATTGGTCAGCCTTGTCAAGACTCCCACAGAAAGAGTCCCATCTTTTCCTGGTACAAAACATCAAAAGGTTCAACCATAGAAGATCTGAGTGGAAAAGGTCAGTGGCTATGATCTACATTTTTAACACTTAGCAATTTGAAAATCACTTCCATCTAAACTCTGTTGTGGCTTATATATACATGTCCCCCAGTAGCTTCATCCATGGTGCTTAGATCACATAGGCCTGATAAATGTGATGTTGGAAAGGAGGCCTGATTTGAGAATGTGGGTCACTGGGAGTCTGCCCCGGAAGCTATTATCTCCCTCCCACTGTTCCTGCTGCCCAAGCCTTGAGCTATTTCCTTTTCCCACCATGCTGCCTGGCTGCAGAGCCAGCCAACTGTGGACTGAAGCCTGGAAAAACTTGTTAGCCAAAGAGAAAATATAAATACAGAGAAAATAGAAATTACAAACAAGGATCATGTACAACTTCATGTGAACAGTTCTGAAAACTGATGTGGAAGACAGTTTCTAGTGGTCAAGATTTTTTTTTAAATGCTAGTATTTTAAAAATTCATTGATTTTGATAATACAATTATCTCAGTTACAGTTTTGTTACATGTTCCCTACTTGATCTCTCAATTCCTGAAAGAGATGTGTTGGAATTTTTGAAATTAATGTGGTTTATCAGCTTCTCCTCTTTCTACCAAAAGTTATTATTTTATGTATATTGTCCCTTGAAAAGGTTATCATTTGGGTGGGCTAATACTCACTGGCAATACAAAATATTTCTTTGTTCACCCATCTGAAGATCATCAACTTCAATTCTATTTCCAATCAGTATATTGTCATTTCTGCCTCTTTTCATTTTTAATAAGTGGTAATAATTTATTAATAACCTTTGGCTTGGTTACTTTTCTCTTGTTGCTTGGACAAAATACCTGACATTCAGAATTGTGTGTGTGTGTGTGTGTGTGTGTGTGTGTGTGTGTGTGTGTGAATTTTTTTTATTTTTTAATTTTTTTTTCAGTTGCCTTCAGATCTATTTATTATTCTTTAGTGAAATAATCTTCAGAGACTTCTAATTTTAGTATGTGTGCTGCTAAAGCAAGCACTCTTCAGAAGTTTCTAGACATTATCCTACTTTTCTTTTATTAATTTCATTGAGAAAGAAATAACAATGAGACCATCTCAAAACAGGTTAGTAGGACAGTTATAATAATTAATACATTGCATATTGTTTTCTTCATAGCAATTAGTGAATTTTTTAAAGAGAGTACAAATTAGAATTAAAACAAAAAATTACAAGTGATACAGAATTTCACTTAACAATATGAATTTCACAATATTTGTTGTAATAGTGTTGTCTTCCAAGCAGTTGTTCATATTACCAGATATATGCATGTAAAATCAGAACAAAAAAATTTGTAAGAAATTAAGAAGAGAAAAAGTGCAAACAATTGAAAAAAAGGAGACAAAACACATTAAAGCATAACCTGACACCCAGAATTAAGGAAGGAAAGGTTTCTTTAGCTCAGTTTGTGGAGGTTTCAGTTGGCTTCAAGGCAAGAGTGGCATGTGGCAGAGGGCAGCAGTTCATGGTGGTGAAAAACAGCAAAACAGCAAGAGTAAAAGCAAGGAGCAGAGGCAGAGAGCAAGGCTCTCTCCCTCGCTTATACTGCATTCATGCTATCCACCCAAGGGTGGGTATAACACTCACACCCATAATCCCAGCATTGGAGTATGAATTAATCACAAACTCTAGATGCCCACCTCAATGACTACATGAGGCTGTGGGGGAACAACTAGACACAAACCATAACACTCTATAAAAACCATAGTAGAAAACTTTCTCATTCTGATGTTTCCTAGGATTATCTACATATTTGGTCCTATTCAAGCCTACTAATTTTAAGACTTTTAAATGCAGTTCTTTTGAAAATTTCCTATTTTTTAAAAATTGGCTAAGTTACTTTTAATTATTTTATAATGGTCAATAACTTTTATATTTCTATCAACTATTTAAAATAGTCTGGTGTCTTCCTTAAGATGATGTCTTTTTTGTAGGGATCATTAATACCAGTAAACATTACAAAGAAGAAATAGTTATGTGGATTTATCATTGGACGGTACATCCTTTTTGCTTCCATTTTATTTAATGTGATCCTATCTTATGTTTTGGATTTCTTTCTCATGCTCTGTAGAATGCTATTAAAAATCTTTCAAGATAAGATGACAATTTTTAATTCTCACATTTGGAAATGTCTTTCTTTGCCCTCAAACTAAAATACAGAAATTCAGATATAACACTTTGCCTCTTGTCACTTACTGTGTGGCAGGGGGAAGTTCCAACTTCACTGGCTGTGGGATCTACTCCAGGAAATGATGAAACATACTTCAGAGGAGACTGGGTGGGTCAGGGAGGAGGGCTTTGGTGTCTTCCTTTGTTCCCTCAGCCTTTTCACTCTGACACTCTTCCTGTACTCAGTTCCTGACTACCATGAAGTAAGCAGCCCTGCTTTGGCATGCCTTCCATGTCTCCAATTTGCAGCCAGCCAGTTAGGGACTGAAACCATAGTAAGTTAATCCCCTCGTCCTTTAAATTGTACATTTTGGATATTGTGCTCATCAAAGACAGAACTGACTAACATACCCTCCTCATACCTGATGCATCCTTACAACTTTAACAATCTGATATTTTTTACTACCCAACAATTTTCTTCTTAATACTTCAACTTATATTCTAAGTTTATAAAAAAAATTTATGAAATAATTTTGTATCCAAGAAAACTTGCCAAAGTCATCAACTATGCTTTCTATTAATTCCTTTGAATTTTCAATATATCAAATCATATCAACTATAAAAATTATAGCTTTCTTTCATAGATGTATGGTTTTCATTTATTTATTTTCCTGCCCCTACAATACTGGATATGTCTTCAAATATAAGACAAAAGTAAGACAAATGATAGATAAATCATAAAAATTATAAATGTTTGAGGATGGCAAAATGTTTTAGTACTGTGAGTTAAAGGAAATTCTCATGTGTTTCTGATTTACTGAGAGATTACACCATAAATTTATGGAGTTTTCTTACTTTCCTACATTATTAAGACAATTATACAAGTTCTGTCATATAACTACTACTACTACTGTGAATTACAGTTAATAGTTATCTTAGTTACATTTCATTGCTGGGGTAAAATATCTGACACCCATGAGTTAAAGAAGAAAAAGTTTGTTTTGCCTTGCAGTTTATAAAGGTTTCTGTCAATAGTCAGCTAGCGGGCCAGGTCAGTGAGATAGCTCAGTGGTCTACAGCACCTCTTAGGCAAGCTTAGGCAGGCGCAGGGGACCTTGGTTTGATCCCTGGCATCACATGCTGCCCCAGCCCCACCCTCAGGGTGGGCTGAGCTGGCCAAAAATATAAATGACAAGCGGAAGACTCAATACTATTATGGATTACTGGTCTCTTTTAGAATATTTTTGCTGAGTTAACACACCTATAATATTCAAATGACGGAACTAAACAAAA